TAATAGAATAAAAAATATTACTATTAAGCATAAAAAAAACTCAGATCATCACTTTCCTTTTCATATGGTGTGGTGATGGTGGTGGTGGTGGTAATGGTGGCGAGATAGTGGTCTAGTAGTGGCGTCGTAGTGGTGGTGGTGATGGTGACGGCATGATGGTGGTGGTAATGGTGGTGGTAGTGGTTGTGGCGATGGTGGCGGTGATGGTAGTGATAATGGTGGTGACAGTGGTGGTCGTGGTGGTGATCATGATGGCGATGGCGATGATGTAGAGGTAGTGGTGGTGACATCAGTGGGCGCATCGAAGGTGGTGATAATGGAGGCGATGGTGGTGGTTAAGGTGATGACATGGTGGTGGCGGTGGCAATGTCGTGATAATGGTAGTGGTGGCAGTGGCAGTGGTGGGAATAGTGGCATAGTTGCGGCAGCGACAGTAATGGTGGTGGATGTGACGGCAGTGGATGCGAGGATGATGATGATAATGACATGATGGTTGCGGTGGCGGTGGTGTAGTGGTGGCGGCGGCATGATAATGGTAATGGCAGAAACAACAGTGGCTGCGACAATAGTGATGGTGATGACATAGTGGCGGCAGCGACGATGGCGATGGCGATAGTAGTGATGGCGTGGTGGTGGTGGTGGTGGTGGTGGTGATGGCAGTGGCTACGATGATGGTGGTGATGGTGGTTGGTGATGGTGGTAGTGATAATGGTGGTGACGGTGGTGGTGGTGGTGGTGGTGGTTGTGGTAATAATGGTGGTGGTGGTGGTACGACGATGGTGGCAGTGGTCGTGTTAGGATGGTGGTGGCGGTGGCAGTGGTGATGATGGAGTAGTGGAGAGTAATTGAGAGAGATAAGTGTTTCTCTTTTTGTGCCTGGGAACAAAAAAGCAGAAATTTTTTTATTCTTTTTTCTGTTCCCGAATACAAAAATTAAATCGGTTCATCCTGTGAACCAAAAAATAAACCGATTTTATCACACGAGTTTTCTATCCATTTCTGCTCCCGGGAGCATAAATTAAAAAAGAATTTATTCCGGGAAGGTTGTCATGCACACCTTATATATATCTAGGAATATTATCATAAATAAATTTGATTCTAGAAATGTGGGCAACATAACGAGAGTTAATTTTTCTTTTCTTTCATGGATGACTCTATCTTTAAGAGAAGAAGAAACTCGATTTCATGTCCCAAAATAAAAATAAAAATTAAACCCGATATCAGAAAAAATAAAAGATACTCGCTAATGATTGGTTGTATACCTTTTTAATCCATTGCTTGCTACTTGATTTAGAAATAAATATATAATGACAAGTAGCCTACAGCCTACCAATATATATATATATATATATATATATATATATATATATATATATATATATATATATATATATATATAACAAGTAGAAAGATTGTCTGTTTCATTAATATAGCTCAACATTCGAAGCTGTTGGCTTTCTTATGTTTAGGGTAATTTCCCTTCCTAAAAACTAGCATCATCCACCCATCGTGCACATTATGAGTGATATAAAATACAATGAACAATTGTTATCAACGTTGGTATCTAAACGCACATGGTTACATACCTTACTTTCATGCTTGCATTTTTTGTTGTTAGTGTTATTTTTAATCAAGGAAGAAACATTTACTATGCATGGCCAGAGAATTTTCTTGCAAGAAATTCCAAAACACAGCTTCAAAACATTTGCTTTATCCCATATGTTCTGTAGTTTTTGTACCTTAAGTTCAGGAATCCTTCTCAAAATTGTCATGCACAAATATTATAATTAATTATAGTTGCTTAACTTTTGTGGTTCTCCTTTTGTGCTTCCCTCAGATTCTTCTCATTCCTTTCTTCAGCTAAGACAATTCACAAATATTTAAAAATTCAATTATTATTATTAAAGACAAAGCTAGTTAGATAACCGAGATGGGAAAAAGTTGATCAACTTTTTGATTGTAAGATTCCATTCTGCGCCTGAAACAGAGAAAATTAGTTAGCAAATGAAGAGCTATTTGGTAAAAGAAAAACATGCTGGAGCTTTATGGGAGACCATGATTTGGTAAATAACGTTCATTTGTACTTCTATAGACCAAAAGATTTTTACAGTACATATATATCATATGCGGGGCCCATTAACAATTTTGACATCTCCTAAGCAATGGTTCTATGAATATGAAGTATGTTAGAACTATGAAGCAACCTTTTGATATGCCTGATAAGAGAATAAAAAATTGTCACTAAAATGTACGGAAATAAATCCATATATACACCAAATAACATGAATTTCGGGACAAAGAGAAAGAAGAAAGAGACCAGGGAATAAAAGCATGGCGGAAAAACATTTACAACAAATGTTGTTTGCATACAAAAACAACTGTAACCTAGGTTGAGTAGCCTAATTGGAGCGGAGTTAGAACTCAGGTTTGATCTTGGAGCAAGGAGGCAAAGGGAAATGATTGTTGCATACTCGTGTAGGAAAACACTAAATTTGACAAAAATCTGACAAGATTCAGTTACGTGAAGATAAACAACCTAAACTGACAGACTGTATATATATATATAAAGTTTTATTATTCTCCTTTTACATAAGATAGTTATTTTATGTTGTAGAGAGAAAACGGATGGGTCCCACCATTACAAGAAAAAAAGAAAAAAAAGAAAAAAGTGAGGTACGAAAATTGAAGTAAGAGAATAAAAGAAAAGTTATCTTAGGTAAAAGGAGAGTGTTATTTTCCATATATATAAACAAAAAAACAAAAGTAACAGTATATCCCTTCTTATGCATAGTGCACAGGAACTCAGGAAGTCTCATGAATCGTGAGAAAAAAAAGGAGCTCGTCTTATTTTGCGGATAAAATCCTTTGAAATATATTTCATACTTTAGAAAGTGATAATCTGATAAAGGGAAAAAATAGCAAATTCGGGTACATAAGACTCCCGACTAGCGAGGGTAGGAATGAGAGTAAATAGTAAATAACCTCAATCTTACCCTTTTATTTTTGTAAAGAAATGATTTTTTATACTCAAATCCATGACCCTCCTATCATAAAATGCAAACTTATCGCTAATTCAGGCTTACTCTCATAAAGTAATAATTTCATAATTATTGTTAATGAAATATAAAAACGATTGATGTGTCTTCACTTACAAGTTTGATATGCTCGGTGAAATAATTGCTTATTATAGTATCAAAACCATGGTGATCACAGAGTCATGAATTCAATCATCACCTCCTCACTTTATAGTGAAATTAAGTAAGTACACGGTTAAACAAAAAACAATAACTTGTACAATATCCACGTTTCAAGCTCAAAGACTCTTGCATGAGGGATGTACAAAAATATAAAAATTATTAATGAGTCTTTAGTTACTAACTTAAATTTTTGAGTAGAATTGGTTCATTTACAATTATTAAAAAAAAAATAATGATCTAATTGTCCTATTAGAATTACTGAATTGGGGCTTGTGCTCTTAAATTCGTCGTGAGGGCTCAATATCCTAAGTGGAATATACTTTCCTTGCCTCCTCTCTTCTCCCCTTTTCCTGGTCCCCCTACAATAGGTAGTGAGAAATGATCCAATTCTATAATCCCATACTTATATGCACTGGATATGGACACTATTTTCTCTATCCTTCCTTGCTCAGCTGGTCCTCCTGGATAAAGCCACACAATAACAGAATTAACAAATCTTGGTATTTCGATCTGAATGTTTGTGAGTGAGTGAGAGAGAGAGAATGATTATAGACTGTTTAAAGAAATGTATCCCATGGAGGGTAGTAGTCCTGCGTTGGGTAACATGCTAGGTATAATACAAGGACTAATTCATGTTCTGGTCTGGATTTTGTTATTAACAGAGAGAATGGGTGCATGCAAAGAAGAGAGAGAGAGAGAGAGAGTGAGTGAGGGAATGGGGACCAAGGAGATATGGAAAATGATACATAGCATACAATAAACAGTATTTTTTGACGAGGGATTCTCATATTATTTGTTTTGTCTATTCGAATATTTGAACTTCGATGTAATTATTATATATAGAAGATTAAGTTTATCAAGGTCCAATTTGTAAATTGAACACAGACTTTCCGAGACTTATTGGGGTTTGTCTTATATTCGATTACGTCGAAACGGCTGCGTAGATTTATATTTTATTTAATATAGATATATACAACTTAATCATGCCGTATAGTCTCTGATTGCATTCTATTATTCTTGTAGTCGCTTTATTTGGTATATAGAACCAAGATATATTTTATATATTTATGTATGTGATGACCCGGGAGAGAGTGAGCCAAAAGCTTAACTGCCTCAAATCCTTCACACTTCCCACCATTACATGACAAAATCCCAACTTCCATATACAAACAATTAGCTGGCCGGCTACTTCACATGCCACCAAAATCCAACACAGCACTGCTTACTACCCTCTCTCTTTCTTCTCAATCTTATATTACACCCATCTCTTTCATCCTCTTTCTTTCTTTCTTAACAAAGGAAAATCAGAAAAAGGAGCATCTCAGGAACGGGATTAGAACCTTTTCTTGCCATGAAAGGGATGTTCCTATCACTACTCCTTTTGCCTTTGGCTGTTTTGCACATCTGAAAAAAAAGCCTGAACTTTGTCAAGAACGGTCTCTTTTGCCGAATTTGACTTCAAATATGTTTTTTCGGGATGAGAGTTTACCCCTTACTGAGCACTCTCTCTTTTGAGAAGAACGATAATATATATACACCAAAAAGCTGAAATGTCTATTTCCCTTTGATTCATACACAGAATTCTCCCAAACTCCACTCTGCTAATTTCACCACAAATTTGATCTTTTCCCAATGACAAAGGTACCCACTACTAGTCAGGTCACTTTCTCTTTTTCTGCTCCTTTTTTTTTTTTTTTTTTTAATTTCTGATTGATTCTTGCTTCCCACTCTTAAGTTTCTGCTCCAACTTTATTCTCTTAATTTTGCTTCCTCTTTCTATCTCTCCACCATTTCACACTGTCAATGATGCAATTCACACCACCACTACCTCATCTGCACCAAATCACACCCTTTCCCAACCCTACCATGAACAAAAATCAAATTCCTAGAACAAGGCCATCATGGCCTACAGGGTTCCCAACATCCAAGGCATTAAGTAGCTTTGGCGATGCTAACTGCATGGAACAGTTACTTGTTCACTGTGCCAACGCCATAGAAAGCAACGATGTAACTCTGGCCCAACAAATCCTTTGGGTCCTCAACAACATAGCACCCCAAGATGGTGATTCCAATCAGCGCCTAGCTTGTAGCTTCCTTCGAGCACTCACCGCTCGTGCAGCCAAAACTGGAACCTGCAAAATGCTCGTAGCAGTAGCAGCAGATACTCATAACAACCTTACCATAGACACACACAAATTCTCACTCATCGAGCTAGCCAACTTCGTTGACTTAACCCCTTTTCATCGCTTCGGTTTCACAGCTGCTAACGCAACCATTCTTGAAGCTACAGAAGGATTCTCCATCATCCACATAGTGGACTTAAGTTTGACACATTGCATGCAGATTCCAACCTTAATCGACGCCATTGCTAGCCGCCACGACGTGCCTCCTTTAATCAAGCTCACCGTAGCTTCTGCTAGCAGCAGGGACATACCACCAAATCTTAACCTTTCTTATGATGAACTAGGTGCTAAGTTGGTTAGTTTCGCTAGGTCAAGAAACATGATCATGGAATTCAGGGTGGTTTCTTCAAGTTATGAAGATGGGTTCGCAGCTTTGATCGAACACTTGAGGGTGCAACATTTAGTTTACGCTGCAGAACATCCTCAAACAGAGGCTTTGGTTATAAACTGTCACATGATGCTTCATTACATCCCTGATGAAACCCTTTCTTCTAATTATTATGTTTCTGTCACTTCAACTTCTTCCCTGCGATCTTTGTTCCTTAAAGCCCTGAGGAGTTTAGACCCAACGGTTGTCGTTTTGGTAGATGAAGATGCAGATTTAACATCTAATAACTTGGTTTCTAGATTAAGGTCTGCGTTTAATTATCTATGGATACCTTACGACACTGTGGACACGTTCCTCCCACGAGGGAGTGAACAAAGGCAGTGGTATGAAGCACACATTAGCTGGAAGATTGAGAATGTAATAGCACATGAAGGGCTTCAGAGGGTTGAAAGGGTTGAGCCTAAAAGCAGGTGGGAACAGAGAATGAGAAATGCAAACTTTAATGGGATTCCATTCAGTGAGGACAGTGTTGCGGAGGTGAAGGCTATGCTGGATGAACATGCTGCTGGTTGGGGATTTAAGAAGGAAGATGAACATATTGTGCTCACATGGAAAGGGCACAATGTTGTCTTTGCCTCTGCTTGGTTTTCTGCTTGAACATTTTTGCTACCTTTTGCTCTATGAATAATAAACATATTATTTTCCTATTTAGTCTTTGATGACCTCCTACATTGTATTTCTAAGAGTAAATAAGTAGATGAGAAGTTTTTTCCTTTTTTTTTGTGTGTGTGTGTCTTTTTTCATGGTTTTTGATAGCATTTGTATCCCTCTATCCATTTCTATTATTTCTATGCTTGAACTTCTAAACCTTTTATGCTTCATGGTTTTTGATAGCATTTATTATATTCTTATTTTTTTTACATTTCTAAAAAAAACAATGCTAATCAATTACAGTGTCTTGTTTTGGAATTGTAAACAATCATTGCAAATGCTAAAAGCTTTGACTTAAATAGGTTAGGTATGTGTAAAATATTTTAGGTCTTGCCTGACCTGTTAGCCTTGTCTATGTTCAGAATATAAGTCTGGTCTGGTCTATATTTAAAAATAAAAGTGTTGACCTAGGCCTTTTAACCTATTTAAGTCTATTAGGCATTCAGTAATTAAAATAAAATAAAATAATATTACTTTATTATTCAAAATCATTAAGATAATAATTTTATTTATTTTATTTAAAATAAATAATATAATATAGGCTGATATATAGGTTTATAAGCCCAACATGCAAAAGAAAGCATATGACCTGCTTTCTAATAGGTTTTTTTAAAAAGCTTGAGCCTATTCTATTTGACTATATGTGATAAGTCAAGTCTTGCCCGATGTAGGCTGGGCCGTAGGCCCCTGTTAGGCCGTCTGACTTATTTACACCCTACTCCTAAGACAATTAATAGTAGAATTGATAAACTACTGATGAGTTTTTAATACTTATCGGTCCAACATGGCGATAACATGTATGAAATTAAAATCATCGCCATACAAACACGCAATTACATCAATACATAAGTCTAATTTATTACCTCAAACGACAGATAAATATATGAAATCAACGTCGAGGTGAATTTTTCATGTACAATATGGCTCCAAAAATCTCCCATTGCATGAAATGAACCAACCATTAGCATTTGTGTTAGGGTTAGGGTTTAGGGTTTGTGATTAGGGTTATTTAAGGATTTACGGGTTATGTTAGGGGTTAGGGTTGGTGTTAGGGTTTAGGGTTGGTGTAATGGTTTAGGGTTTGTGTAAGAGTTTACGGTTTAATTTAGGGTTAATGTTTAGGGTATGTGTTAGGGTTTAGGGTTGGTGTAAGGGTTTAGGGTTGGTGTAAGGGTTTACAGTTTGTGTAATAGGTTTTAATTTAAGGTTAGGGGTTAGGGTTTGTGTAAGGGTTTAGGGTCTAAGTAGGGTTAGGGTTTAGGGTTTATATTATGGATTATGGTTTGTGTTATGGATTAGGGTTTGCGAGAGAGTTTAGGGTTTGTGTTAGGGGTTAGGGTTTGTATTTTAGGTTGTTGTAAGGAACTGCTGGAGGGGATGTTGTGTTGGTCGGTGAGAGGAACTGCTGGTTGACCGTCGACCAACTGATAATGGAGAGAAACCTCTAAGAATGACGAAATTGAGATGTATTTTGTGAGCTGATTGAACACTTACACTATTTTTTTAACTAAACAGATAATTTAGGACGATCATTTTATATATTCCGCTGCAACTTCGATCACACGATAATCGATTGACGTTTAATTTGCATGGACAAAATTTCATCGCACATCGTAGATCTGTGATGGCAAAAATATTCGTCGTTGTTCTGTGATAGATTACATATCTCGTCGCAGCAATAGCATTAATGTTAATAAATTCGTCCAACCGTTTGGCTGGCCGAATAGTTGGCTTCTGTCGCAAAGTGTCAGTGCGCATATCCCTACCAATTTCAAAATGCATCGGTATTAGCTTATCATTGCAGATAATGAATAATCCTCGCAAAGTCTGGCACAGTTTGCATCAGAATGAATTATTCTTCGCAAATAGTGAAACTTGTACCACGATTATATATATGACTCGAGGTACAAAGGATTAAATCAAGACAATAATTCAAGGTAATGTTATTTTTGTGAAGTCTTGCTATGACATTCTTGATGAAAAAGTCTCACTCAGAGTGTGACTTTAGGTAATAGAGGACCAAATTAGTACAATAATATATAGGGATATTCATCATTAAGTCTTGTTATGAAATGCCTGATGAAGAAGTTATATTACGTGTGGACGAATTGCATGTTGTCATTTCTTTTGATGGTCCTTGTGTGAATTAAAGGCATCTGCGTATGCTTTGCGCAACCATGACTTATCGGATGCATTACATGACATATGGCACTTTATCGTTCACCTAATATTTGAAACTCCATATCATGAAGCATTTATGTCTCCAAGTTATTTGTTTAAATAAAATCTGGTGTCATAGTACGTACTATTGATGATTCCTTGCAAACCTATGCATGACTTTTACATTTTTTAAGATGACCTACGCCTTTACTCCTAAAAATGAATAACCATTACCAAGGATCTTGTCAGTTGTCTATGTCTCATTTATAGAAAATATGTGTAACATTATAAACGAAAGGAAAATTTCATTTGTTGCTACTTCATTCTACTCCTTGCAAACCTATGCTGCTAATTGCATATCAGTTATCTTCTCTATGTCGTTGATTTCATCAAAAAATATTTAATTGAAAATCATATTATGTTAGATATCGACTAATGTGTGTGTAAAATATAACACCTCATATATTTGAAATGCATTATTAATGATATAATTAGACATTAATTGGTTAATAAATCTGAATAAACTCTAGGAGGCACAAGTGAAACTGTGAGATTTCAAAATAACTTTTTCTGTCATGACATTACATTGAATATTATCAAGAGAATATGACTTCTCGTTTGTGTGATTTTCTTTATGAGAATTTTTAGAAAAACTTTGATGTGAAAATTTGGAATAAGATTCTAGCTTGACACCACAGCCTGTGAGGTTTGAGCCTAAACAGTTTTTTTTTTTTTTTTTTGAGAGGCCTCACTGTAGTGGTACTCTAGAACTTTATTTGTTTCTCTGTGATGCATGCATGAATTGAAATGATAAAAGGCATTTTTGTTCTTGTTAACCACTTGGCCAAATCGCCCACCTGAAAAGAATTTTTTTTCCATTGCTAGCCCCTTTGAGCTTTAGACTGTTTTTTGTTCAAATTCCCATAAATTACTTAGCTTATATTTATGTTGACTCACCCTTAAATGAGATTGAAATATTGATCAAAGAAAAATTAAGGTGAAGTGCTCCATTGAATGTTAAGGGATAAAAAGGAAAATAGTACCTTAAAGGAAAAATAAATCTGTTTGAAAAGAGGATATGCAAAGGGAAAAAAATTGTGAAAGAAAATTTCTGCTATAAATTATTAGCAACAAGAAAGAAAAAGGTGGTGAAAAAGGAATAAAAATCATGAATTGAAAGGAAGAGACATAGTGAAATCATTGTATGAGATTTGACTGAGCCTTGAATTAAATTAAATGTGTTTCAATCTCACACAGTAAAATTAGCTTCCTTCCAAATATTCTTACCCCTAAACCAAGCCACATTACAGCCCTAAAAAGACCTTTGGATTGATTTTTGTATGTTATCTATGTTTCTCATCTTTAGGAACTTGAGAATAAGATCAAGCCTGTGGTAGTTCTATTACACTTATGGATTGAGTGATTATACCCCCAAACACTTGAGTGATGAGTGTATTGTTTATCATAGTGAGGGGTATTCAAGTTATATTCTAATTTCCTTTTTGAAACTGAAAAGTCTTGTTTGAAATTCTCAACACCGAAAATCATTCATGCTTAGCATAGTATTCTCATGAGCTTCTGCTCTAAATTAATTGTTTGATGCGATGTTATGCTTGAATTTTATGAGTCTCTTCTCAAAAGGTTAAGTTCCTGTTTCATAGTGTTTATTCTAGTTTATTGCTAAGGACAACAATGTTTAAATCTAGAAATTGTTTGATGAGTCTCCAAATGACTATGAATTAAGTGTCAATATGAGCATGAAATTGATTTAAAAGTAATTAAAAGTTATGAGAATTATAGTTAAATTGTTATTTTATTTTCAATAATACTCTCATAAAGAGATAAATTGGAGAGATCAAGTAGAGTTGCTTTGGATTTTTGAATCATTCAAAATCTTATCAAATCTTCGTTTGAATATTTTTAAGGAAAATTTTTCCATTAAATAAAAAGGGCAAGATTTGAAGGATTGGATCAAAGATATGATTAGAGATTCTAGTGAAGATTCCATTGAAGATATTATGGAAAAGTAAAAGATATGGTTTCATCCCTATAAAAGGCATCTTTTGGAAACACAAGGACACAATTCGACAGAGGCAAGCAGATTCAGAGGAGGAAGAGAACACTAGATACCAGAGTTGGAAATTTCAAAGAGAGAGAGAGGAGCTTGAAGGAGACTGAGCAATATTGATTCTTCTTCTTCTTCTTTATGATTTCTTTTTCTTTCTTTATTTTGTTTAAGCCAGCTATGTCAGGCTAGTTTTCTTAGTAGTTAGGAATATGGATCCAACGTGAATCCTTGTTTTGGTTTAATTCTTTTCTTTAATAAACTATCTCAAATTATTTGTGTTTACCTTGATTTGCATGTTGAAATTATTGCATGATTTGGCCAATTATATAGGGATAAAGAGGGTTAGGTTTCACAATAGTTATATTGGGATCTTGATCTAGATAGGGGTAGAACACCAATTTTTGCATGATCTAGACATAGGCTTGTACGAATTGCAAACTTTTGTAATTCATCGCGCTTAAGGCATAATCTAAAAGGGATTTCTAAGACATTAGGATTCTGATTGGGTTAAAGGGTTAAAGAACTAAGACATTAGGATTAAACTAATTAATTTCTATATGATGAATTGTTTGAAATAACTGAGATAGAATATTATTGAATTGTAATTAAACCAATTAAGGGGGATCGGAGGTGAAGTAAACCTAACTACATTTTTATTCTTGATTTTAAAACTCAATTTTTATTTCAAATTATCTTTTTAGTTAATTTCTTTTACTGTCATTTATATTTAATTTTTAATTAAATATTGGTTACTTGCGAAAGTACTTTTGAATTGTCTAACTTAGATAAAAATGGCAAAGCTATTGCTTGAAATTAGTCCTCGTGGGAACGATACTTTTACTTAATCACTTGTACGACCGGTATACTTGCCGTGTTCACAACAAGTTTTTGGCGCCGTTGCCAGGGAACTAAAAATCAACAATAGTAGTATCTGTGGAATTTAAGATTATACCTTTATTTTTTATTTTTTTTACCTTTACTGATTTTTTTAATTCTGGTTTATGCGAGGTACAGTTGATCCAAACGACTTGCTCTACGAATCGAAAATTGAAAAGATAGCAAGGGAGAATAGAAGGATAACTAAGGAGAAAAAAGAAAAAGAAAGAGGGAACCGATGACTCTTCCAAGGAGAAACATCAACTATGGCTGAAGAAATACCACATGAGGATACCATGGAGCAATTCCTCAACCCATCATTTGCACCTGTCTCTTCTGCAATCATCATTCCACCAATCCAGGCCAACAACTTTGAAGTTCATCCAGCCTTCTTGCAGCTGTTAAAGAACAATCAATTTTCAGGGGAGGACGACTATGATCCCAATCTTCATGGTCGGGATTTTTGGAACTATGTCGGCTTCACAGGCATAATGGAGTTAGCACTGATGCTATTCATCTGATTCTGTTTCCTTTTACATTGAAAGGAAGAGCAAAAGAATGGATAAGGAATGAACCGGAAGAGAGCATCACTTCATGGGATGACTTGGTGGTTAAATTTAGAGAGAAGTTATTTACTCTTTCTAAATTCATGCAGAAGAAGCGAGAGATTGATCATTTCTCTCAACATGATGGTGAGTCATTTGGAGCAGCTTGGAGGAGATTCAAAGGCTTATTGATCGCTTGCCCACAATATGCTCTTCAAGCAGGAGATAAGGTGAGGCTCTTCTACCATGGTATATGCCCTGCTGATAGAAAATTCCTGAATGCGGCTGCTAATGGATCATTAGTTAACAAAGCTCCAGCTGCATCTCGACTACTCATTGAAGAATTAGTTGCGGAAGAGAATGAGGATATACCCAGCTCCAAAAGAGGCATTCTGCAAGTGGATAGACTTGACATCTTGATGACTGGTCAACAGAGTTTGCAGAAGCAGATGGAATCTCTCACAAAGATAGTTGCTAAGAATCAAATCTCTGCCATCAATGTTGAGGAACCAGTAGTATGTGATATATGTGCTGAAGGACATTTGACTGCGAATTGCCCGTTAGCTCAACCTTCAGAAGTCAACTATATGGGAAACCCGCAAAGGAACAACTACCAAGGTAATAACAACACGGGTTGGAGGAATAACTCAGGCCTCTCTTACAATCCACAATCGTAACAGCCACAACATCCTGTTCCATCTAGCTCATATTCAGCTTTGGAGAAATTGGTGGAAACCACGGCTTCAACCACCAATGCTTTCATTCAAGAGACAAGATCGAACTTCAAGACTCAAGAGGCATCGATCAAGAATATGGAGGCTTCAATCCAGAATCTTGAAACTCAAATTGGACAGTTGGCCAAGCAATTGAATGAAAGAAATTCAGGGACAATGCCTAGTGATACTATGGTTAATCCAAGAAAGTATTGTAATGCAATCACCACTCGGAGTGGGAAGGAGATTGAACCTCAAGATAAGCCAGCCAAGGTAGACAAAGAAGTGCCAAAGGAGGAGGAAACAAAAGAGGAGGATACTAAGAAAGAAGAGACTCCTAATTATGATGATGTAACCTACTTTGGAAGAGTAATCACTCGTAATAAGAAAACTACAAATATACCTCCATCACGATTCAGTCAACCAGATCCTTATGTAAAAGCCCCATACCCTATTCGGCTGAAGCAAGAAAAAGAAAAGCAGCAGTACTCAAAGTTTATGGAGATGTTCAAGACAAATCAATATTCCTTTCTCTGAAGCCTTGGAGAATATGCCTCTTTATGCAAAAGGCATAAGCTCAGAGAGATGGAAACGGTAGCTTTAACTGAAGAGAGTAGTGCTGTGATCAAAAATGGGTTTCCATCTAAAGTTAAAGACCCAAGGAGATTTAGTATCCCTTGTACGATCGGGAATGTTAAAGTAGGAAGAGCTTTCTGTGATCTGGGAGCCAGTGTCAACTTGATGCCTCTTTCTTTTGCACGATCTTTGGGGATAACGGAGATGGAATCTACCTTTATGTTTCTTCAATTTTCTGATAGATCCATCAAAAGGCCGGAAGGGGTGCTAGAAGATGTCCTTGTAAAGGTAAATGATTATATATTTCCAGCTGATTTTGTTGTGCTTAATATGGAGGAAGATGACAATATGCCTCTCATCTTGGGGAGACCAATCTTAGCAACTGCTAGGACATTGATTGATGTAGAAAAAAGACTGATGATCTTTAGAGTTAATGGTGGTAAATTCAAGATGAATGTTTTTGAGGCCATAAAGCATCCTGAAGATAAAGAAAACTGCTTTCAGATCTATGTAATAGAAGAAGCAGTCTCAGAGAAGATCCTTGAATAAGAAAATCCTCCCACTATTGAAGATCAGTTTGCAGACATTTTGCACTCCTCAGAGCTTCTAAATGATGCTCAAGTAACTAAGGTAGTTAAAGCCATCGATTCAACTGAAGTTTCAAATGCACGAAAAAAGAGCTAGTTGAATTGACCAAGAAACCTGAAGGTCAAGTTTACTGCATTGTTGAAAAGAAGGTTGAGGAAGGAAACAAGAAGAAAATCCATCAGAAGTACGAGGAACGCAAGCAAAAAGTTAAGATGGAAAAACCTAAGAGCAAAGGAAAGCATGTAAAAACTAAATTTAGAGCTCCTGAGGCCACTTCTTCTTATCCATCCGCGCATGAGTATTATGGAAGGACACAATATTGGACCAAGAAGACTGATTCATCAATGACAGTGTGCTTCCAACCACCATAATCATGAAGGGTACGACATGCTCGTGACGTTAAACAAGCGCTAATTGGGAGGCAACCCAATAATTTTTTCTATTTCGTATCTTTTATTTTATTTTTTATTTTATTTTTATTTGATTAAGAGATGGTGTATTTTAAAGTGGTTGTGAAAATTTCAGGTGAGTGAAAAATTTCTGAGAAAAGTAGAGGAATCTACACCCCATACGCCAATTTGGCGTATCATATGCCACTTGAAGCGGTAAAGAACATCTCGTCCGCGGTTCGTACGCCAAATTGGCGTATCAAAATGCCAAAATCAAATGGCTTCTGACCATATGCTAAAACGCCAAATTCCCAATTGAGGTTCCATGTTCTCTTGACTTTCAGAATTTTTTTTTATTTTTTTATTAATTTTACTAAAACCCAAGCCTACAGGCCCCAACATATTCATCTTCTCTCTCTCCCTCACACCGCCGACCACCACCTCCTCTACACCACCGCCGATCCTCTATTCCTCCACAGCTATCTTCCACGGTGACAACCCATAACCGGACCTCTTTCCCTAATCTCCAAAACCCCAGCCTAACCCCACCGACAACCAAACTGTCCCTCCCCTTAGTTCACCGACCCACAACCTAACCCCACCGACAATCCTCTCTCATAGCCACCAAGAACCTATCTTGACTAAACCACCATCACCGCCCCACAAAGGACCCCCACCATCTTGTTCTTCCTTGGACCGACCTGCATGCATACCATCGGTCATCACCCTACAAACCGAGACCCATAACAATTCTTCAACCTATTCGTCAACCACCAATGGAACCAGTCTACCATTTTTGCCGGCAAGCTCACCCTCCCCTTTCCACAGCCAATCCACACCACCCGACCAACCCCATCCAGCCCCACCACTTCCGACCACACCACTCCACAACCCCAAAGACACAGCCTCCTACTCCACCACCGGTCAGCCACCATCACAGCCCTATCATCGAACCTCTCCTTCACACCGGTTCCCCATCGTCTCTCTCTCACCATCTTCTTGACCGACCAAAGACCCACACACACCGTCACAGCCCCTCCCTCTCTTCTTTTTCTCCATACCACTGTCTCATGCCATAACCTCCTTCCTTAATCCTCCAAACCTCAACACTGACCAACCCATCACCTCCCACACAGCCGATCTGAAGCACACTCCAATATCTACCCACATTTCACCGTGGAAATCATTTTTTTATTTTATTTTAGATTAAATACCATTTTTGTTCTTCATCAAATTTTATGATGCCCGCTTTTAGTCCCTAGCAAATAAAAAGACCCAGAAATTCAAAATAGACTCATTTAGTTGAAATCGTGGTCCCTCACAAATTCAAAAAAGACCCATATTAGTCCTTTAAAATGACTAAAATGGGTCTATTTTGAATTTCTTAGGGACCACGATGGGCCTTTTTATTTGCTAGGGACTAAAGCGGGCATCGTGAAATTTGTCGAGGACCAAAAAAGGTATTTACTCTTTATTTTATTTTATTTTTTTGAAACCTCAATAACACAACCACAAGCTTTATGCACTCGATCCATTTTGTATGTTAATTATATTGGATAATATTGCATTACATTGGCTGAGCCAAATGGAATTTGGGGGATTATTTTATTGGTTGATTGTAATGATAAATAAGTGAGCATGGAATTTGGAATTTTATGCATGATTATCTGGAAATTCTGAAATCCTTACCATCGGGGAACACTTGCTAGATTATTGTGAGATAAGTTCAAAAACAATCTGGGAATTGTTAGTGTATGGAAGTTTTTGATTTTCTTTGGTTGTTGGTTAAGGCATCTGATTTAATGCTTCATATGATAATCTGATGGATATTAGATTTTATTCCACTGAGACTGATTTGATTGCTGTGATTTATTGTTCACAATAAGTTCAAAAACACATTTGATTGTTGTGATTTATTCCACCTAAACAGTTATTTTTTATTTTTTATTTTTGAGAGACCTCACTATAGTGGTACTCTATAATTTTATCTGTTTTTTCTGTGATGCATGCATAAATTGAAATGATAAAGGCATTTTTGTTCTTGTCAACCACCTGGCCAAATAGCCCACCTGAAGAGAATTTTTTTCCATTGCTAGCCCCTTTGAGCCTTAGACTGATTTTTGTTCAAATTTCCATAAATTACTTAGCTTATATTCCTGTTGACTCACCCTTAAATGAGATTCAAATATTGATCAAAGAAAAATTAAGGTGAAGTGCTCCGTTGAAAGTTAAGTGATAAAAAGGAAAATAGTACCTCAAAGGAAAAATAAATCTGTCTGATAAGAGGATGTGCAAAGGGAAAAAAAATTATGAAAGAAAATTTCTGCTATAAATTATTAGCAAGAAGAAAGAAAAGTGTGGTGAAAAAGGAATAAAAATCATGAATTGAAAGGAAGAGACATAATGAAATCATTGTATGAGATTTGATTGAGCCTTGAATTAAATTAAATGTGTTTCAATCTCACACGATAAAATTAGCTACCTTCCAAATATTCCTACCCCTAAACCAGGCCACATTACAGCCCTAAAAAGACCTTTGGATTGATTTTTGTATGTTATCTATGTTTCTCATCTTTAGGAACTTGAAAATAAGATCAAGCTTATGGTAGTTCTATTACACTGATGGATTAAGTGATTATACCCCAAACACTTGAGTGATGAGTGTATTGTTTTATCTTAGTGAGGGGTATTCAAGTTATATTCTAATTTCCTTTTTGAAACTGAAAAGTCTTGTTTGAAATTCTCAACACTGAAAATCATCCATGCTTAGCATAGTATTCTCATGAGCTTCTGCTCTAAATTAATTGTTTAATGCGATGTTATGCTTGAATTTTATGAGTCTCTTCTCATAAGGTTAAGTTCCTGCTTCATAGTGTTTATTCTAGTTTATTGCTGAGGATAATAATGTCTAAATCTGGGAATTGTTTGATGAATCTCCAAATGACTATGAATTAAGTGTCAATATGAGCATGAAATTAATTTAAAATAATTAAAAGTTATGAGAATTATAGTTAAATTGTTGTTTTATTTTCAATATTATTCTCATAAGATTTCTTATATTTTGCAGTAAATTTGAGCTCAATAAAGAGATAAATTGGAGAGATCAAGTAGAGTTGCTTTGAATTTCTGAATCATCCAAGATCTTATCAAATCTTCGTTTGAATATTTTTAAGGAAAGTTTTCCATTAAATAAAAAGGGGAAGGTTTGAAGGATTGAATCAAAGATATGATTAGAGATTCTAGTGAAGATTCCATTAAAGATATTATGAAAAATTAAAAGATATGGTTTCATCCCTATAAAAAGGCATGTCTTGGAAACACAAGGACACAATTCGACAGAGGCAAGCAGATTCAGAGGAGGAAGAGAACACCAGATACTAGAGTTGGAGATTTCAAAGAGAGAGATGAGCTTGAAGGAGACTGAGCAACATTGATTCTTCTTCTTCTTCTTATTCTTCTTCTTTATGATTTCTTTTTCTTTCTTTAATTTGTTTATGCCAGCTATGTCTGGCTAGTTTTCTTAGTAGTTAGGAATATGGATCCGACGTGATCCTTGTTTTGGTTTAATTTTTTTCATTAATAAACTGTCTCAAATTATTTGAGTTTACCTTGATTTGCATGTTTAAATTCTTGTATGATCTGACCAATTATATAGGGATAAAGAGAGTTAGGGTTCACAATAGACATATTGGGATCTTGAACTAGACAGGGGTAAAACACCAATTCTTGCATGATCTAGACATAGGCTTGAAGGAATTGCAAACTTTTGTAAATTCATCGCGTTTAAGGCTTAATCTAAAAGGGATTTCTAAGACATTAGGATTCCGATTGGGTTTAAGGGTTAAAGAACTAAGACATTAGAATTTAACCAATTAATCTCTAGATGATGAATCGTTTGAAATAATTGTAATAGAATATTATTGAATTGTAATTAAAATTTTTTAGTCCTTTTCCCCTTCATTTCCCCCACTTCTTCTTCCCCTTTCTTTTTTACTTTTATATATATGTATATATGTGTGTTTACTATCCTACTTATTTATTTTTATTTTTACTTTTATTTTTCATTTTTTCAACCTTTTTGTATCTTTTATTTGGGTTCATCTACCACCGACCCCAATTAATTTGGGATAAAGGTGTTGTTGATGTTGATGTTGATGTTGATGTTGAATTAAACTAATTAAGGGGGATCGGAGGTGAAGTAAACCTAACTTCATTTTTATTCTTGATTTTAAAACTCAATTCTTATTTCAAATTATCTTTTTAATTAATTTCTTTTATTGTCATTTATATTTAATTTTTAATTAAATATTGGTTACCTGCGAAATTACTTTTGAATTGTCTAACTTAGATAAAATCAGCGAAACTATTGCTTGAAATTAGTCATCGTGGGAACGATACTTTTTTTTAATCACTTTATTACTTGTACGACCAATATACTTGTCGTGTTTGCAACAAACACTTAGACAAATTTTTAAGGTGAAAGATTGATGATTTGTAAAGGAAGTTGTTGATGGATGGTGTAATTGGATTAGTGGTTGTTTGAATCATAAATGATGAGGTTTAATAAGAGTT